GCGCGTGCGCCGTTGGAAGAGTCAAGAAGGCGGAAACGTGGGCGTGGTCGAGGGTGTGTGTGACCCTGACGACGATCGCAAGGTCAGGGGAATGGAAGGTTGAGCTCCTTCCTTAAACTCTGCCTTGCACTTGCCTTGGAGGCATCAGCCTAAGGTTCAGCCTGTGTCCCGGGCAGTCTTGAAGGTCTGAGGGCCCAGGGCACTCTCTAGTTCTGACTTCGTGGCAGCTTGCTCTCTTGTGGTCATGCATTCGTTCATTCAGTGAATGGCATCAGAAACGCCTCCTCGCCAAGCCTCTTGTCTCAAGAGAAAAAAAGAAAAAAGAAAAGAAAGGCCTCCTAGTGCCGCTCTAACTTCGCCTGCTTCTTTCCCTTCTTATGAAAGTAGGGATTCAACCCAGGGCTTTTGCAATGAGTGATACCCCTAGCTTCTTTTCTTTTTGAGACAGGGTCTCACTGTGTAGTTGAGACTGACCTGGAACTCACTGTGTAGCCCAGGCTGGTCTCATACTCACAGCGATCCTCCTGCCTCAGCCTCCCAAGCGCTGTGATGACAAGTGTGCACCTCCACCCCCGGCCTCCCCTACTTCCTGCCTGGCTCCCAGTAGCTCCAGCCCCGTCTGACCTGTCTGCTCCCTGTACTGAGCTCTGTTGAGTGCAGTAGCTGCCGGGCCTTGGTCACAGTTGTAATTCCAGGGCGGGGCACACCCTAGGTCCTCAGCAAATACTTGCTACACAGATGGGACTTCAGCGCCAGCCATCCACAGGCCGCTGGAGGAAATGTAGGGGAATCCCTGGTCCCTGCCTTCTGCCCTGACTGGGCTGGACATCCCAGCGCTTCTGGCAGGCCCCTGGTAGGGCAGAACTGGATTGCACAGGCTCTGCCCTTCAATCCATTTGTCCTTTGCCCTCTGATTTTCCTGTTAATTGCATCTGAGAACAGCACCACGGCTTCTCTTCCGGGCTGCTAGGAGCAGTTAAGGGCGCTGTACGTAAGAGGATGTTTGGAAAACTATTGCAGTGGAGCCGATGGGTTCCTTTGCCTGACCACCGCCCTGTCCTCAGACCTGCCGTGAATCTGGGGACCTGCGGCAAATGTGGCCTCTGCCATTCGTGACTGAGTGACCCCACTGCCACGCTGGACCACAGACCAAACGGCATCGCAGTCCCTGCTTCCTGACCTGGCTGGGTGGGACAGTATGCCCACCCAGCCCAGAACACTGGAAAGGTAACAAAAGAAGAAGAAATAAAGACTGGCCGGGCGTGGTGGCACACACCTGTAATCCCGGCACTCGGGAGGCTGAGGCAGGAGGATCACTGTGAGTTCGAGACCAGCCTGAGCTACATAGTGAGTTCCAGGTCAGTCTCACTATATAGTGAGACCTCTCAAAAAACCTAAATAAATAAATAAATAAAAAGACTGGCAGAGTTTAGAATTGCAAGAGACTTATAGATTTCTATTTATTTATTTTTATTTTTTGTGTGATACTGGGGAATGAACCCAGGGCCTATGCACTGAGCTACAGTCCCAGCCCTTTCTCGAGACAGATTCTTGCTCAGTTGTCCAAATTGACCTTGAACTTGCAATCTTCCTGCCTTGGCATCCCAAGTGGCTGCTGTGCTATCGCGTCTAATGATTTCTAAGTTGCTTTTTTTTTTTATTGTGGTACCAGGGATCGAACTCTGGTCCTTGGGCTTGTGAGGCATGCCACCGAACCACTGAGCTAAATCCCTGGCTCTAAGTTGCTTTTAATTGAATCCAGAAACTTTTTAGACATCAGTCAGTGACAGAGATTACTCGGGGATTTGTGCATTGCTGGTGTCCAAAAATCTCCATTCTTGCTCGGCACAGTGGCACACACCTGTCATCCCAGCACTCGGGAGGCTGAGGCAGGAGGATCATCATGAGTTTGAGGCCAGCCTGAACTACACAGTGAGACTGTGGCTCAAAAACCAAAACAAGGGCCAGGGATGTAGCCCAGTGGTGCCACCGCCTGCCTGGCAAGCATGAGGTCCTGAGTTCGATTTCTGGTACCAAAAGAAAACAAAAACCAAAGGTTCACACTCCCCAAACAACGGGGGTACTCTGTGTGACTGCAGTCGTGCAGATGGCAGCCATGGCTGGCAGGGAAAATCAGAAGCTTGTGGCAGAAAGTTGGCAGCCACAGAGAAGAGCACCACGTAGCCACGCCCTGCACCACAGGGGCCAGGGGCATTTGGCTCCCAGCAAGAGGAAGCCATCTGGTCTGTGGCCACTGCGGCCTTGGCTCCCACTGCTCCAGACAACAGAGGTAGCTGTTTGCAGAGCAGGCCTGCCTGTTATAGGAAGGCTTTCTTGTTTAAGAATATTCGTCATATGCGTGTATTGAAATATCACTTTGGCCGGGGATTTAGCCCAGTGGTTCCGCTGCCTGCCTCGCAAGTGCAAGGTCCTGAGTTCGATCCCTGGTATCCCCCAAACATGTTTATGTAATAAAAATCATTAAAAAAAAAAGAAATATCACTTTGTACCTCGTGCATATGTACAATTATGTGTCATTTTAAAAATTTTCACTTTGTCCTAGATTTTTTTAATGTTTTTAGACAGAATCTATTAGAATCTATGTAGTTCAAGCTGGCTTTGAACTTACCATGTAGCCCAGGATGACCTTGAACTTGTAGCGGTCCTCCTGCCTCAGCCTCCGCCATCCAGCTCATTTTGTCCTCATTGGCTCCCTTGATTCTTGGTCCCTGGCCCAGGAGAGGCTCACAAAATGGAGGAAAAACTTTAGACTCCTGCAGATGACAGCAAGTTCTTCACAGTGCAGCCGGCTCTTGGGTGGCAGCTGTCAAGGCCTCTGCTTGTGACCAGATGAAACCTCCTGTGCCTTCTAAGGGCACCACCCACCCCTCTGTCTGCCTCCCAGACCTTGACTGACCCTCTCTACCCTCTTGAGTTAGTGGCTGAGTTTGTTTTCTGTTGCTGCTGTAACAAAGCACACATTTAGCGCCTGAAAACAACAGCAGCAGCGTGTTCCCTCGCCTCGTGGTTCTGTGGGTCCAGAGTCCGAAGGCTGATTTCTCCGTGCGGGTTCTTGGGCTGAGACCCAGGTGCTGCTAGCCCAGCTGCGACCTGAAGGCCCTGGGCCTCTGCTTCCGGGCTGGCGACACAGGAGTGGGACCCCAGGAATGGCATCCCCACTCCCTGGCTGGCTGCTGGTAGGAGCCAGGGACCCAGAAGCTGCAGCGTCCCCTCCTCTGGGTCCTCCATCTTCAAGGCCGCCAGTGACAGTCACCACTGTGCGTGGCTCCAGCCCTCCGCCCCTTCAGGCCTTGGTCACTGCTTGTGACACCTGTGTGTCTGATTAGCTCTCTTGCCTTCCCCTTCTGCTTTTGGGGGCCCAGAAATCCAGAATGGCCTTGTCTGAAAGTCAGACATCTATAATCCCAGCACTTGGGAGGCTGAGGCAGGAGGATGGCTGTGAGTTCGAGACCAGCCTGGGCTACACAGTGAGTTCCAGGTCAGTCTCAACTACACAGTGAGACCCTGTCTCAAAAAAACAAAACAAAACAAACAAACAAAAAAGACCAGAACAAAACAACAACAAATTCAGTGAAAGATAAGAGTGAATGAAACCAGGTCATAGAATAGTGTATCCATATGATCTCACAGTAGCAAACAAGGGCACTGATATTTATAGAAAAATATCTGAAAAGGTGAAACACAAGTTTACTGTGTTAATGTTGGAATTAAATCACGTACTTCCTCGGCTGGGCGAGCTGTGTGCAGCTGTAACCCTGGGACTCAGGAGAGGCTGAGACAAGAGGAACACTTGAGTTCACGTTTATTCCTTTGTTCAAGCTTGTGACCCCTCTGGAATAGTTTTGGAATCAGTGCACCTACACCAGGCTGTAAACAACCCTGCCAGATACAGTTCCGAATGTAGCTGCGGTTTTCTCTGACTGTTTCCAATCAGATCCTGGCTTCCGAATCCACTGCCCTTGTGAGGCTGCTGGCAGGGAGGGTGCCTGAGCTCGAGCCAGAGAGACAGCGAGAAATGAAATGCCGTGGAGGAGAGGGGGCAGCCACAGGGTCGGGCGCAGAGGCCGCATGTCTGAGTCTGGGGGAGAAGACAGCTATGTGGTGGCGCTGATCCACTTGATGGCAGGTTCTCCTGCAGCCGTCTTGGCAGCTGAGGTGCAGATCCAAGGCTATGGGATGAGCAGCCGGCTGTGGCATAAGGGAGGCAGGCTGTGGCAGGGCGAGGACACCGGGGTGCTGGCAAGAGAGTGGGTGATGTCATGGATCCCAGAGTCTGGGCTGAATGGAGCAGGAAGTAAAGCTGAGCAGAGAACAGAACCGAACAGAGCTGTGAAGAGGTTTTCTTCTCTTTTCCTTTTCTTCTCAGTACTGAACAGAGTGAGGGCTTTGTGCTAAGCTGCATCCGGAGTTGAACTC